CTTGTTTGTTCATTTTTGCCCTTGCCTTCATGGCAAGTCTCACTCAATTCCAGCACTGTAAACTCTTCTATGCTGTCCAGCAAAGGTTCCTTATTGTGGTTAAAGCATGAATTTTTATGTCTTTACTGTGTAATTTAACATATTTTCAATTGGGTTTGTAGTTTGAGTAGGACTGTTTGTTTTTCTTTGTGTTCCAGTTAGAGCATTTGAATTAAGTTTGATTCATGAGCCATTAGCTCAGTCTTCCTAAAAGGCCTGTTATTTTGATTGTTTTTTTTGTTCTGGCATTGTAGCAGAAAGGTCTACACTCATTGTGCTTTTAGTATTTTTGTTCCTTTTTTTTTTTTTTTTTTTTTTTTTTTTTAGCTCAGATTGTCCCATTTTGTAGCAAGTGAATCATTTTCAAGTTGATTCCTGTGTTCTGACATGATCCCTTTGTCTAGGTATCCCAGGTTCATCTTGGGATTTTCCTGCCTCACACTTGACATTAGGCATTCCTGTGAGGAGCCAAGGTTTATCTTATATTGGGAAAATAATGAGATTTTTAAAAAATTTTTATGTTATAAATAATGTTTATTCTGTCAAGTTAAATTCTAAAATTCAGCCAGGGTTGAAAACCACTAGGCTCTCTTTTTTTTTTTTTTTTTTTTTTTTTTTTTTTTTTTCTTTTTTTTTTTTTTTCAGAACCAGGGATTGAACTCAGACCCTTGCACTTGCCAGGCAAGTGCTTATTCTACTGAGCCATCTCCTCGGCCCCGCTTTTAGGCTCTTGATTAGAGATGAGTTTAATTTGGGGGGCAAGAATATTTCAAAAGTAAATAGTTAAATAGCTAATAATTTTTAGATAGTTGAATACTTTGGGGGATTTTCTTTGAAATGTTTATTTGGAGAGACATAATTGCAAAGCTATGTAAAATAAATCTTTAAGGACTGGCCAGATAGCTCAGTGGACTAAAGTACCTCCTTAGGCAGATGCAGGGATCACGGTTCAATCCCTGGCTACCCTACTGGCCCCACTCCCAGGGCACACTGAGACGGCAAATGAGATGGGGCATGATGGTGCACGCCTGTAATCCCAGTGCTTTGGAGGCTGAAAACAGGAGAATCACTACAAGTCTGATCTGAGTAGTGAGACCTCTGTAGACCCTGTATTAAATACATTAAAAAAAGAATCTTTATTTTATAACCATGTCTAAGACTAAAAAAATTATACTACACATACAAATTAAGAATGCTTTCATATAAACATTATGAAAAAAGATATTCATATACCATTCCAGCATTTTTGGATCAAAAAAATTCCAAACTGAATAAAAATGTTTAAGGCTTTAAATGGAGTAAGATTTCATTATTCCTCTTGGAATTAAGTTGCTTTTGAAGCTTCTTTTTTAATATTCTTTCATTTATTTGACAATATTTATTGAAAATATAGGATGTGTAGGACCCATTCCGTGTGCTGGTAACTAAACGATGAAATGATCCCTGCCCTCAGTCTGAGCAGAGACCAGCAATAAACATATGGCATCTGTGAGATCATCCTGTTTCACCAAAGTAGTTTAAAAAAAACCAGGAAGTACTGTAGTAGCTCTGTTATATTGTCATGCCATGTGCTTAAGAATTATAGTACATAGGAAGAGTGATAAGTAGAAAATAACAGAGGTTTGTCATAATACTGTCGTAGTTCATGTATTACCTGTAATACCTAAAGCTGGGTGGTTTATAAGGAACAGACATTTGTTTGGCTCACAGTACTGGAGGACAGGAAGTCAAAGAAGTTCATGCCAGCAGGCATGTGGTAGGAAGCAGCATCCTGTGTCATCCCATAGTGGAAGGCAAAATGGTAAAAGCAGGAACAACCAAGAGGTCTAAGTAGAATCCTCAAGCCCTTTTACTAATCCATGAAGGTGGAGCCATCATGGTCTAAACACCTCCTGTTCTATTATAATTGATTATTAAATTATGAGACTTACTACAAAGCAACACAAGTTATATCACTGGACAGTCTGAAGATCTTCATGAAAGAGGTATAAAATGAAATGGATATTGGGAGATGGATATTTTTGATCTTTTGAAATATTTGGATCTGTAGTGACAGCTTAGGAAGCAAAGACAAAGAGATGTCAAGTTTTGAATATTTTTTCCTAATAGTGTAGCCTGGCACCTTGCTATTTCAGTAACTGTTTTAGCATTAAAAGTATTAGAATTGGCCTCATAATTGCCTGAATTTCAAGGACTGGAGAAGTGGGTCTAAAGCTGGAGCCAGCGCAGTGGTAGGAATCTTAGCATACATTTTAAAGAAGAACATCTGGAAAGAGGTAGGCTGGGGTCCTGCAGGGGAGTGGTAGCAGGGGCTACCATGAATAAATGGCTTTGTCTGTCTACTCTAAATGCAAATCCCAGGGATGTGGTTTTATCTTAACTTAGTGCATTCGCAGTGTGCTCCAAGAGGGCCTGCTTGAGGGTTCTCCTATAGCCTTTCTCTACAATGGCAAGGTGATAGCCACAATTTACTGTCACCACATTCCTCACAAAGATGAAAATTAGATCCTTCCCAGACAGAAACCATAACTACTCCTTACACTGAAAATCTCATATATTCTTTTACAGAGGAACAGGCAACTGTCTGTAGAAAATTGTAGCATTTGGATTTCTAAGATAAATGTTTAAAGATGCCATCTTAATTTGTCATTAGGAAAAAAATTATCTGCAGACCACTGTTAAAACTTTCACGAAATTTCAGGATTTTTTTATTTTATGAGTTATAAAAGTTTTCAGGCAGAATGTATGATAAATTAGAGATGGTTCAATTACTTATCATTAACCAATTTCCCACAGTTCCATTTTCTCATAGGTAACACATTTGCTTTTTCCCTTCCTGTTCTGAGTACTTCCTCAGTCCTTTATGTCACTGAAGTTATTTTTCAGTGATTTTCACTTGAAACCATCAAAAGAGGGAATGTGTAAAAGGGAAAAATCTACTAAAAGTACCAAAAATAACGGTAGTTTTTTCCTAAACTGGATGTGGCATGGTGGTGCACACCTGTAATCCCACACTCGGAGTTCTTTTTGGTTTTGGGGAAGTTTTTTGACATCAAGAATTGAATTTAGGACTTTGTACTTGCCAAGCAGGCACTGAGCCAGAAAGTTACATCCCAAGCTCTAGGGATACTTTTTTAATAGATTATCTAACCAATAATCTTTATCTCTGCTTTATATGATTTTTCCACAAATGTTAAAGTATTTGTAAAGATTTGTTGTTTTCATTGTGAAGCACTAAAATATCTTACAATTATTTTAAATCTTTTTTTCTACTGAAATGAAATTATGGCCACTAGCCAAAAACAGTATTTTAAAGGCATACATTGTTACTGGCTTTTGCCTACTTTGCTTTTCATATCACATTCAGAGAGAACATAGTGCTTTCACCAGATAATATTTTTATTTGAAGATAGTGGGACAAATATTTTTAAAAATTAACTTTATTGATATATTTTAGATATACATGATGATTATATCCATTATAGGGAATTTGTATATGTACATGATATATCTTGATTCTTTTTTCCTCAAACCTCTCACCTCCCTTCAACCCCTCTCCCCATCTGTATTTACAAAAACTTTGCTTCCATTGATTCCTTCTATTCTCTTTTACTTGTCTCTTCCTTCCTTTCTCTCTCTGTCCTACTTTGTTCCCCTTCTCATTTGAATGTTTCCCCATTTCCCATTATCCATGATACATTTTGATCCTTGGAGCAAATATTTTTAACATATATAGATATCATGTCCAATCTGAAATATTTACCTGCAACCTGTTAGAGGCATGTAAATATGGGACTGTTAGAATCATTGTGAAGGAGAGGGGTATGTACCCTGATTTTCTTTTAGAAAGGTTTATACTGCCAGCACTTCATACTTTATTTAGGGTGTTGAAAAAGTAGCATAAGAACTTTTCTGTTGTTTTAGTTTTGTTCTTATATATAACAACTTCCCACAAGTAATGTAAACATTATTTATGATACACATAATAAACTAAAATTTTTAAAGAATTTTGTTTATAAATTTTCTTTAACTATAAAATCAATCATTGAGTTACTTGACAATATTCAGTTGGCAAAATAATCCTTTGGCAAGTTGTTATTAACAAAATTTCTATAAAACCTAAAACCATGAATTATTAGAATGGCTCCATTCTAAAGTTGAAATATTTCCAGTAGATCAGTACATTGCCATTTATTTAATCATCTTCATAGATGTTTATTAGTGATCACTTCTGTCAAGAAGAGTTGTGGGGATCCTATGGATTTTTTTTATAATTCTTCTGTTTTTTTGGTTTTTTTTTTTTTTTTTTTTTTTTTTTGAGACAAGGTCTGACTTTGTAGTTTAGGCTGGTCTTGAACTCACTATGTAGCCCAGGTTGGCTTTGAACTCACAACAATCCTCCTGCCTTGGCCTCCTAAGTACTGGGATTATAGGTATGTGCCACCACCATACCCAGCTGCACTTATTCTGAAACATTTCATTTTTAATTGATTTTTTAAAGTTTCATTATTTTTATAGGTTGTTTCTAAATTTTAAAGCTAAAAAAAAAAAACACGCACACATGGAATCTACTTTCTCTTCTATTTTATCTGCATTGAATAGCCTGTGTTTTCTGGGAATCACTGTTGTTTTTTAGTTAAAATGTAAAAGTGCTGCTTGGAATCTGTAGTCTTTAGAAATAGTCTCTGTGGAACCAATCGAAAGTTTGAATTTCAACAGTAGTGATCTGTTGTCACCAGTAGAGAAAGAATGAAAGGTACAAATAGATTGCATGGAAAAAAAAAAAGAAAAGAAAAGAAAAAGCAGTGGTAGTCCCAGCCAGCTTCTCTGTAGCTTGTCCACAGCCTGCTGACATGCTATTTTTACAGTAATACTTTGGGGAGCCTAAACTGATACCATTAGGTTCCTCTGCCATTGTAGAACAGTGAAGACAAAAGCACTCACCATCTTAATATTCACAGGACTGTGTTAAAGAATAATGATTTAAGATCAAGACAAGAGTTAACTGCCCACCTCACCAACCAGTGGCCTTCCCCAGGAGCTCTGGATGCCAGTGCTGTTGCCTTGGATACGTTGCTTTACCGAAAACACAATAAACAGTGGTATGAGTAAGTGTAATACTTTTTTTTCCAACTAATTACAAATTCACTTGTCCCAAAACATGTGGCAATCCACAGTGTTGTCTCAGTTATTCTTCTGAATTTATTAGAACAAAGATAGATTTAGGACTACTTTGGTAAGGTAACATTAAAACAAAATTTGTTAACATTTTTGAAGCCAAGGCACTCTGGGGAAGTAAAATATCTGAGAGATTCTTATGCAATGTTACTGTACCAGCCAGTCCTTCAGGGATGTATAGGTGCTTATATCTAATGAGCTGCTTACTTTTCAATTCTAGTTTTGAAGTTATATTTGCCCAGAATTAGTTTTCCTCTTTGTCAGGAAAACATTAAATGCCATGAAAGGATGAAAGATATACATTTGTTCTTTGTGGTCTGAAATAACTCTGTTCATTCTCAATAAAGCTAATTTTTACAGAGTACAATATGTAATCACTCCACCTATGAGCAGAGACCCTTTTGCTGTTTCACTGTCTAATGTTCAGGAATATTCATTAGTTACAGTGCCTCAGTGTTGAGTGAGTTGCAAAATCTTAACACAAAGTAATTTGATTTTAACAGATTGACTACTTTTGCACTTTCTTTTGACATATGCATCAAAATTATTTGTTTACACTAATTTTTTCTGTCTTCAGCTATATTTCTGTCTTCTGTTTTTCATGGTGCCCTTTACTCCTGTTTTCTGTTTTATTCCCTCCCCTTCCCTTTTGTCTCTTTCCTTCCATTCTTGGCTTTTTTCTGTCCTTTATCCCCTTCCTCTTGTCTACCCTCTTTTTCTTTCTCTTTGAAAGAGTCTTTGTTTTTAGATTTCTCTGACAGAGTCACATTCACACCTGTGCTGTTAGGGCGCCTTTCATAGTTAGTCAGTATACGTTTAAGCGGTGTTTCAGACATTGCTTTTTTCTTTATCAAAAATAGAATTCAATGTATTTGGCCTTTTATTGCTTTAGAATTGACAAGGACTTTAGTGCTTTTACTTATTTCATTGAGTATTAAAGGTGAGCAAATCATTTGTGAAATAAATCAGTACTACTCTTCAACTGCTCAATTATGTTTCTGCATGTAATTCACAGTGTTGACTTGGGATATTTCATGTATTTGGGACCTAGTGCTTTATATACTCTTATGAAGTTTTTTAATATTAGAATATATTTCATTATACTTTTGTGTTATAAAGCTGGGTGTGGTGGTACATATGTATAATCCCAGCACTCACGCGGCTAAGACAGGATTGTTTCAAGTTTGAGACCAGCCTGAGCTACAAAGTGAGATCAAAGCCATCCTGAACTTCATAGCAAGACCCTGTCTCAAAAAGACAAAAAACAAATGTTGTGTCATGGAAACACAGAGTATTTTATTTCTGAATTATGATTGAAAAATAGACTTTGTAGTAATACTTTATATACTTTATAGTGGTACCTTGATTCATGAATGCTTTTTTTTTTGTACATCATTTGGTTCATAAACAGAAGCATTCAACAAAATTTTGTTTTTATTTGAAAATCTGCATAGGGTGATGACAACAACTACAGCCATCTTTCCCAAACAAATATGAACTTGGCCATCTTTTACAAATTAAGTTTGTGAACCAAGGTACCACTTTCTATATAAGAACATGAGATGTTCATGCTTTAATTATGAAAACATTGTAGCAGCATTAAAGTTTGGTCAGTTAAAGGACTATGCCTTTCCAATTGCAATATCCACATTATCCTTCAAGGGAGCCAAATATGTGAATCCTTGTCTGCCTTCAAAATTGCCTATTGAAGAGCCAGTAAAGAGCCTAAAGTGGAAAATGTATCTCTAGTTTGCCCCTTTGTATATGTAATATATAATAATGACTGATTTTTACAAAGTAGTATAATAGCAGCAGAAGTAATTGCAATCTCAGAAAACCAGGAAAACTGGTCATTCTGTTGAACATACCTCCAGATTTTATGTGCTATTTAATGACTCCATTAGCTTAAAACGAGTATGTCCCATTTAATGTGCCAGTCAGAAAAGGTTCAGAGATTTCTGCTCAGCAATAGAAGCAACAAACTTTTCTAGACTGACAGACAAGCAAATGGAGAAGTCATCTGAGAGCTTCAGCTAAGCACCGGCCTTATTTGGGCACAGAGTGAAGAGGCATTTATCTTAGGCAGTTGTGATCAGTTGGCTGCCTATTACCAGCTGAAGGTGGGATCTTTGTTATAAAAAATATACACCTAATTAGGTTTCAATTTGTTTATGTGCTATTAAGTTATAGTTTGTTCTAGGAAGTCAGAAAGTGATAAAGCCTTACGTTATTGGCCTTCTGCCTACTTCAGTGTACTCTACTGTTTCAGGGATATTTTGGTCTTTATATTTCAAAAATTGAACTAGTGGATAATTTGCTTCTATTATTGCCTTCTCAAGGAAGGCAGTTAAAGGACTGCCTTTCACAATAGAAGACCTGAAGTCTATCTTAATTTGCTGTGCTACTTATAAAATTTTTAAAATATGATTTTTTATTTATTTCTTCATTAGGTTAACCTGGCGGTATTAGCTATGCTGGACTTTATATGTTTTCCTTTATCTCAGATATAATAATGCTGTGCTTAAAAAGTAATAGAAATTATAGGCTTACTGTAAAAATTCAACAATGAGTATATAAGGTATAACCAAAATATACCATGAATATTTAAGTTTTTAACAAAAATTCATAGTAAAAAACACATTGTTATTAACTTCCCTGAAAATATTTCCCCTGGCTTTGAACACACATACATATCATTTTTGTTACTTTCTTTTTTTTTTTTTTTTTTTTTTGCGGAACCGGATATTGAACTCAGACCCTTGCGCTTGCCAGGGAAGTGCTTATTCCACTGAGCCATCTCCCCGGCCCCCTTTTGTTACTTTCTGAAGCTGTTCTGGAAGTCCTCATTCATAAGTGTACTTACAAACTTTGATTTTGAAAAAATACAACAAATGCTACTGCTGAGCACCATCTAAAAAAAGGCAGGCTCCCCAAAACATTATCCTATGTCCTCACCCACCCCCCGCCCCCCGCATTCCCTGAATCTGTCCCCAGGCAAATTCTGTCCCCCAGAGTCAGAGTGCCAAAAAAGGTAAACATTTTCTATTAATTCAAGATCCCAGGCAGCCACAACAGTGCCAGTTAAAAACACAAGAAATGGCTTCAAGAAATGCTTCAGGAAGTGGCAAGAACAATGGGATTTGTTCAAAGTAAAGGGAGTATTTTAAAGGGAATTAATGGTAATGTGTCCTTTACTGTAATAATTTTTAAGCATTTACACTATGCTCCAGTTAAATAATATATGAAGCTTGTTTTCTTTACGCAGCATAGAAAAATTGTTTATTTTTTCAATTAAGTTCTGTTTTGTATCTTTTTTGTATGTAAAGTATAGGTAACTTGAGCATCTTAGGTAATTTCATTAGATTTGTCTGTTCCATATGTTAGATATCTGATTTGATTATTGCCTAATCTACCCATTCTTATCCCAAAGATCAGATTCAATGTCATTTATATTTTTTAGTTAAAGTTCTTTAGACTTTTAAATCTATCATTGGCTTTCAATTTGGTTATGACAGCCAGGGATATAGCACAGTGCCTCCGAGTTCCCAAAAAAAGAAGAAAAATATTGGCTGACTTAGATTGTAAAATTATGAGAATCATGAGCTTTAATATATCCTTCATGGTCTATTGTTTAGGCTTTTAGTTTTTATTAATGACTTTTCCTTCAAATATATTAGGAGTTCTTCTGATGTGTATCTAAGCACTTTTAGAGGAGGAGTCTCTGAAGCACTGAAGGTGCAACAAATATTTTACAGTTTGTAAGTTGGGCGTGGACCTAACTCACATGTATCCTTCCCTGTCAGACTTTCCTTCTATCCTTCTCTAACTTCAATAGATTAAGTATGTAAGACATTCTGCTACAAGAAATGATTATTTTCTTCCTTAAATATATTCTGTGAAGAAAAGCAAGAATAAAAATAACATCTCATTTACATGCATGTGCCACTGTATATGCAGTTTGCATACATTTTTTTTTGTTTTCCATCTGTGGATAACATCCACGTCTTTCTATGTATCACACTGTTGCCTTGTACAATAACTACCAAATAATGTATATTATATTGACCACAATAAATGACAAAGGCTATCCATACTATTGTTTCTGATCATTGATATAAAATGTAAACTTTGAAAAAATTAACCAGCAAGTGGCTTTGGACCTCTTACTCAATTTTATTTTTTTTTAATGTATTTATTAGTGCAGAGTCTACAGGGTCTCACTATGTAGATCAGACTTGCTGTGATCCTCCTGTTTTTAGCCTCCCAAGTGTTGGAATTACAGGCATGTACCATCTCACTCAGTCTCAATTTTCTTTTGATTTTCCTTTTTTTAGTACTCAGTTTCATGTATATGAGTGTTTAAGTGATTTTAAGTGATTTTTAAGTGATTTTACAATATTTAAACAGACATTGACTATACAATAGTAGATTTTATTATATGCCCACTTATAGCATAATTCTTACAAGTTTAATATAAAATATACTTTACAATGTAATGGCATATATTAAACTATAGTTTTATATATTAGTCAGAATGTATGACGTATTTAGGGCTCTGCTTTTGATTAAGTTAAGCTGATGTTATAAAAATTAATGAATACAAAAATAAATGTTTCATAATAAGATAATAATCATTTATACAATATGAATCATTATTTTCAAAGTATTTGCTCAGAGTATAAGACATAGACAAAAAAAATTATTGCTTACAGAGAAGAAACAGACAATAGCACAAAATGAGTCAAAATAGCTGTGTGGCCTTTAATCACAGAGCCCTCATCAATGGGTAGTTTACTATATAACAAGCAAATATTTGTCCCTTGGAGCTGCCAGTTCCCCTGAAAATCAGGTATTGTATCCTGTAGAAGCCAAAAGCACTCTGTGCTGTCACGAGAGCAGCTGAACTAGTTCCCTTCCAGATGGAGGGCATGCTACCATCTCAAGCACAGCAGGTAGTGTAAGTCCACTTCCTAATAGTTTATGAATGAAGTACTTAATTTGGGGGTGGAGTTTGTATTATTGTTTCAAATCATCATTTCCTACGTGTTTCTCTGTTCATTGGCATTTATTCACATAAAATTTATTCACTAATTTTAATTAATTGTGACAAATTAAAGGGTAGAAAGCTTTGAAATCCCTTTGAATCTGGAAGTGAACTATTCTAAAGCGACCTTTCATAGTCACACAGGGAGCTCATTTGGTCTTGCTGTTCTAAGCCCTGCTTTAACAGCATGGTACCCTCTGTGGGCGCTGGGCCTGGAGATTGTTGTAGGTGTATGCTGTCACATTCAGGGCTCCAGGAATTCCACGTCCTCTTGCTTTTGGGTGTTTTGTTGTTTATAAGTATTTTTATATATGATTTTTAATTTAATATATTAATAAGTTTCCTATGATGAAAAATGAGGATGAGAAACTCGTCTTAAGCCATCAGTTTGAAAAGCAGGCTCCTTCCTACCTATTGGACAGAAAAAAATAATTTGGAAAACCAAATTAGGGAAATGCATGTTACATTTCTCATTGCTTGTTAAATTCTTATGGTGCTACTCTCTCTATAGCTAAAGAAATAAGACTTTATAGTCAGTTACTTGGCTATAAAAAAGATTGTTGGCACATCCTGTATTTCTAAATTGAATAATGGTACCAGATACAATGATAGATGAGATTGAAGCTGCGTATCATCCATTATCGTGTGTAATCAATAAACAATTTAACTCTCTTGAATGAAAAAAAGAGATTTTAATAAAAATCAATCCAAATTTTTAGCATCATGATTAAGTATAGTATTATGTTTTTATCTTAGCAAATAAGATTTCTATTCTTTGAGGTTTTCTAATAAAAGTCAAATCTTTTTTTCTATATGATAGCAAAAATAAGAGTACTTAGAACAAAATTAAGGCCAGGCCGCCAATTTTTTTAAAAATATTTTTATTGAGAAACAAATAGCAATGAGACAGTTTCACAACTGATTACTAGTGCATTTTCAATAATTAATACATTGCATATTGTTGTCTTAGTGGTTATTCATTGTACAAGATGCAGACATGATAACCTGTCTCAAACACTACTAGAACAAACCTCTCTATTCATGAATTAAGAGAATGGAGCTGTGTATCTATCCTATTTTGAGTATACAGATACAAAATGGTTGTTCATTTGTATCCCCCTTTTTTGTTTAATTTTGTCAGAGAAGGGTATTGCATTGTCATTTATATACTGTAGGTGCATGAATTCAGAAAAATATCCCAATATAGTCCAATAATCCTTAATAATAGTGGGTTTTTCATAAGACTGTTCATATCTGAAGTTGTTGACTTGGCCCTTTTAAAGCTCAGCATATTAATATGGCTTTACTTTTTATACTTAATTTTCATACTTTTCTGCTGGATTGTTAAGACCAAGAAAGAGCAAGACCTATATAACAAGAAATGTAGCTTTTGTATCTGATAAGATCAGTCAAATCCCCTCAGGATTTACCCTGAAGCCCTGTACCACAGTTTGTAGATCCTTTGTCAGTGTCAGCCATGTGAATGAGTCACAGCCATTGTTTGGCCAATTTACTTTCTGTGAAAGACTGAGAGAATGTTTTCTCTCCATGTGACTCTCCTTAGGCACATTTTACATCATTGATCACTTCCCTCTGTGGTCCCAAAATCTCCTTGATCAGAAAATTGAGTTACAGGATGTTACAGTACAGGTTCTCCTATTTCCTGAGTCCTTACTGACCTTGAAAGGCTAGGGCCAAAATGTTGGCTGTGCTTGTAGCACTTTTTCTTTAATTTTTGGTCTGCAAACTTAAGTTGTTAACCCTCCAGAAGAGACGCTTAATGATATTATTATCCTATAATGTAGGCAGTTGAGCTTAACCTCACTATCTGTCTGAATATCAAACATCTTAGATATAACATGGAACAGGTATTTTTCCATCAAGTATTAATATGTTAAACTTCGAGGCCCTCCAGAATATAAAGAAAAAAGATTTAAAAGATTAAAAAATTTTTAAAAATAAGAATAAGCATTTACATATTTTTACACAGAAATTTAGAAATCTAACAATATAAAGCCTTGTAGTCACTCCTGTGACTTTTGGTCTCATGTTTTCATTTATTACCCTTTTTTTTTAATAAACCTTTAATTGAGAGACAGTATCAGGCCACCAATTTTAAATCTCATATCCATACACCCAGTTTCCTCTGCTATAAAGTGAGGAATAGTAATAATTCCATCTTCTTAGGGTACATCAGGAGATTAAGTAAGATATATGCAATATTATTTATCATGCAGCAAGTGCTATATAAAAACTGAATATCCTTTTGTTATATATTAAGTAGTTCATAAAGTGCTATCTGCTGTATCAGAGGTTTCCTATAATAGAATTTTTTACTAAAAAAATAACTAAGGCCTTTAATACTCTCAGCATTTGAAAAGCCAATATATTATAAATTGAAAATACTGTTCGCTTTGTAAGCAAGTAAAGTTCCATTACCTCACTTCATCTCCTTATGCTTCCTTTCTTAAAAAAGCAAAAGAGACACCTGCAGTATATATCCACTATGAAATTCTGTAAATTGGTAGATAATAAGCACAAAAGTAGTTTATACTAAGTACTGTTTTACTAAACCTGTTGAGATCTGCCTGCTTAAAATGAGCAACCTAGTTTTAGTAAATTAATATTTTTCTAGTTCTTCAATTTTGATTTATATCCTTATATAAAATAGCATCTAATGTAAATATTCATGCTATATGTAATATATGAACCTTTAATAAATCTGTAATTAAGACCAGGCTATCAGTTTTAAACCTAGTGTCTATATACCCAGTTTCCTGTTTTGTAAAGTAAAGGTAGTAATAATTTCATCTGCTTTGGGTACTTAGGAGGGCTAAAGAAAGTAAAACACATATGATATGTGAAACAGTGCCTGGAATTTAGAAAGTGCTATGTAAATACTGTCTATTTTTTATATGTATGAATAGAGATAATTGTGAAATAGACCATTTAAATTATATATGCTTTACTATAAATATCATATAATTTATAAAGAACTCAAAAATTAGGCTTTCATAATAAAAGACTCAATCAAAAAATGGGCAAGTGAAATGAATAGATGATTCACAGAAGTACAAATAGCCACAGAAGTACAAGTAGTCAAAAATATATGAAGAAATCCTCAGTATCACTAGCTGTTAGGGAAATGCAAATTTAAAAAACTTCTGTCTTGCCCCAGAAAGAATGGTCATCATCAAGAAACCAAATAATAACAAATACTAGTGAGATTGTATGGAAAACAAGAACTCTTTTATGTTGTTGGTAGGAATATAAAGTAATGCAACCATTATGGAGAGCAGTATGGAGATTTCTTAATAAAACTAGAAATTTCATTTGACCCAATTATTCCTCTTCTAGGTATCTTTCCCCAAAAAGTTAAAGACATTGTAATTACAGTGTTATATATGTACCCATGTTTACAGCAGCAGAATTCATATTAGCTAAATCCTGGAAGCAACCTATATGTCCTCAACAGATGAGCGGATAAAGAAAATGTGGTATTTCTACACAATGGAGTGCTACTCTACCATAAAGATAAACTTGAGTCATTGGTAGGAAAATGCATGCACCTTGAGACCATATTGTTAAGTGACGTAAATCAGGCACACAAGCTTAAATATCACATGGTTTATCATAGGTGAGAAACCTAAAATATAAACAAAGAGCAAAATGAAAGATAATAAGAAACAAGGGGATAGGCCTTTCTTAAATGGGAGGAGGATCAATAAATGGAAGAAAGGGGATGAGAAAGAGGAAAGGAGGACGACAAAACTAATTCAGATGTGTTCTATTGTGGATCAGCTCCTCATAGAATGGAAATGTTATGTACCATAAACATGTAAAATCAGTAAATAAATAAAATCCATCAGTCAGTATAGGAAATTGGATGAGTTTTGGCTACCTTATGAAATAGATATTGAGCTTGAAAAACATTTCTTTTCCTAGGCTACACATATTTAGAAATGGTAATCAAATCTGCTCTTTTATGTGGAAGATGAATGACCCCAAACCTGAATGTATCTTGTGAAGAACCAATGTGAGAAAATGTTAATAATAAGCTTTTATTAACTTTCCAGTTATAACTCTATTTAACTTCAGATACAGTTCATTGCTAACATTAGCTTAATGTAAAATGGGCTTCAAGATAGCAAATGAAAGAAAGAGGTTAATTTTCTTAATGGTGTATAAATACAAACAACTATCCAGCCTTTCTAAATTTCTAAACTTAAGTATAAGGACTTGCAATAATTTGTTTCTGTTGTTACATAATTACTGTCTATAATCATATCGACACTGAAAAATTCCAAATTGCTTGAGACACAGATTATTAAGTTTTGCCAATTTTGTTTCTTCATTAATAGTAATGTGTAAAATTTCTGTTTTGAAAATTACATATAAATCTTGGAAAGTCCTCTTTTTATTTTTTTGGTACTAGAAATCAAACTCAGGACCTTGTGTTTGCCAGGCAGGCACTGTGCTGCTGAGCTATATCCCTCACTCTAGAAGTTTTCAGTTTTAATTACCATGAATAATGAAAAGCTAATGGAAATTTTTGAGTTTTGACAAATTATTTTTCTTTTCTGTTTTCAGTGAATAAAACAAATATACCTGCAAAGAGGCTATGTAGAAAAGTGTAGTGGAGAGTAAACTGAGGTCATTTATAAAGGCACAACTTAGAGACAATGTTAGGGGAAAATTAACCAGAAATTTAAGAAACTGAAAATGATTAAAGAAGTATCTTTAGAAGTTAATTTTTGTGAGAAGAAATTCAAGGGCCATTTTATCCTTGTTTTACAGGAAAAGTTACCAAAGTCTTGACCAGTTATCAGCAGAAGTTAGCCTTTCTCAGACTTCACTGGATCCAGGCCAGTCACAAGAAGGAGATGGAAAACAAGACACATTAAATTCAATCAGTGAAGGCAAGAAAAACAATCTTTTGAAAGTTCCCTTTTGCTACACTACATGTATTTTGTTTGTAGAGCTTGCTAAAGAGTAATAGTATATTTCTGTGGAGCATGCTAGAAATGAAGCTGGCATTATGATTAAAAATAATCAGTCCTTGTTTCTAAGTGTTTGCTCAACCTTCTCAGAAGTCTTATTTAGAATTAGCACTGTTCTTTCCTCACTCCCTTACTCAGGGTGATTAACCATGACTGGACTGCTGCAGTTAGTCTTCTGTCTTCATCCAGCTAAACGTGCAGCAGCCTTTGACACAGCTGACCTCTTTCCTGCTCTTGCATCACTTTTGGTCCCTGGCTGTGATTCACTGGGCCCTCAAGAAACCTTAGGAACTAACACAGTAGTGTCGGGTGTTTCTGTGTGTCTTCATCCCTCTCGCTTCCCGTCAGAGTGAGTTTTACAGGCTTCTTGTCCAATGCCACAGCTCTCCAGGATGCCTACAGTGATACAGCCACACTGTGGTTTCCATGCCTCTGGATTCATCTGAAAACATCAGTAACTATATTCCTCTGATTGCCAACAATGTGACAAAATACATGAGATAATCAGCATGTGAAGAATAAAGGTTGCTTTGGGCTCTGATTTCAAAGGTTTCAGTCCATGCCTACCTGGCTGGCTGTGTTGCTCTGGGCCTGTGGCAAGGAAGAGTGTCAGAGCAGGAGAAGGTGCTAGCTGGGAAGCCAAAAAAGAAAAGGGAGGAGCAGAAGCACTCCCTGGGTAGCCTGCTTTCCTGCCACTGGGCCCACCCCCTAAATGTTGCTCTACCTCAACCTCTCAATAGCTTCACCAGCTGAGGACCAGATCTTCAAAACAGGAGGTTTGAGGAGGCATTTAATATTCAAACCATACAGCAGTGTAGTTGTTCAAAACATGTGACTTTCCCTCCCCTAGCTCAGGCTAGACCTGTCTGTAGCACCTGGGATTTGATGAATAGTGCTGCTATGAGCTGATGCACACATCTTTTATCTCTCCTTCCCACTTGTACCTCCTTTTGTATGTGTTATAGGAAAAGATAGATGGGTTTTTACCTCAGCAGAATTTGCACCCCATGCCTCACTCTCCTCATCTTTTCCACTGCAGTGAATCATGCTACCATAGACAGGATCCTAGATTCTACTTTTTCCTTACAACTTTGGTATATGAATAAGCACTGTCATCTCTCCATACCACACATACTGTTCATGGCAATGGTCATCGCCCTTTCCACTGCTGAGAACTGATCTCAGCCCTCTGCAGCAAGCCTCTTCACCAAACTAGGGTCACAGCTTTTTCACTGGCCTTTTATCTCCCTTTTTTGCCCCTTTACAGTCCATTGTCTGACAGGAATGAATAAATCTGTAAAACTCTCTAATGGCCCACAGTGGCAATTAGAACACAGTCCACTTGTTTATCATGTGTTCCTATCTGATCTTGTCCTTACACTCTACTGCATTCTGCAGACCCCAGCACTCTGACTGCCTAGTTGTTCCTGCTGCAGCCATCTGTGCATTTGCTTTTCCTGCTGCCTTAAAACTTCTTTCCTCAGGTCTTTGCATGTAAGCTGTTTATCAAGTCTCTGTGCAAATACCCTCTTTGTAAATAAATTTTTTACTGACCTCCAAACTTCTCATAGCCACCATCCTCCTCTCTAGCCTATTCCAGGCATTCTTCCTATTATCCCCTCTACAGTAATGCAGTCTTTGTGATGGTAGAGATGGTCTCTACCTCGTCCATCTATGTGTTACTAGAGTCTGACACTCAGTAGATAAACTATTAAAGTATTTGTGGATAAAGTAAGTATGTAATGAATGAGTGTTACAGATGTAAGAAATAGAAAATTTCAGTTAACCAGCATGTTCAGGCAATGTCATTATTTGTGTTGAATTTTCTTCTTCCATTAAGTTGGTTGTTAAAATGTTTTAAAAGAATTTGAGTCTATTTAATACTTAAGTGAAGAGTTTTTTAGATGAATTTATATGTATATTTAAGAAACTGCTCCATACTATGAGTGGATTTACTTGTGGCACCTCTTCATCTGAAAGACATTTATTTAGAATTTGAGCCTAATTTCATAGTATTATAATATCACTACTTGCTTACAATTCTGTAAAATGTACTAACATTAAAAATTCAAATTTAACAGATTTAAATTTACTTAGAGAATTTTTATGTCCAAATACATAAAGAAACTGATGGAATAAAACTAAAAATTAACCAAAAACTCACTAACTTTAGCCCAGTGAGAAAAAATGCCACACAGTAAATCTAATAGATTAAAAACTGATTATCAGGAAAGAAACAGATATTCTTGTAATCAGTTGGTAAGATTCCCACTATGCTCCATCCTCTAAATCTGGTGGAAATAAAAAATAGAGGAATGATGTATAATTGAGAAAACAGCGGTGAAGCTACTTGGATCACCATATATTATACAGGTATAAGTAGGAGCCAGTTGTGTTGGTTCATGCCTATAGTCCTGACCACTTGAGAGGCTGAAGCAGGAGGACCTATTAAACTCAGGAGTTCAAGGCCAGTTTGGGTAACATATAAGAGATTGTCTTAACAAAGAGAGATGGTATGTGCATAGGTAAAATATTTGTACATATTGCAAAGGAGTCCAGGAAAAACTAGACTGAGCAAAAGAAGGAACTGGATGTTAGGGCTTCACAATGAACAGAAATCATCTCCAGAAAGAAAAACTCCAAGATAGCTGAGTGCTAAGCAGCAGAGAAAGAACTTCTCGGAGTGTTGCCATCCAGACCCTGGAATATAGCAGCAGGAGGAAAACATGGAAGGACGTTAGTGCCCTGGACTTAGGAAAGAATTGAGATGTAAATTGAAGCACTTGGAGAGAGATGAGAACAAAAAAGGAACGAGAAAGAGGTACTCAACAGCACCTTCTCCCCAAGACAGGAACACTGCACTAGAGGAGCAGTATAAACCTGCTGGCACAGGGCAAGCGCTGTCGGCCACAAAGTCCTCCAACAGAGATGCAGCCATAGAGGGGAACAGCAGACTTGAAGGATGGCTCTAGCTTCTGGTGAATGCCCAGAGCTCAGCAGTCCCGTGCCAGAGGGGAATTGGCCAGGAGCCATTTTGGAGAGGTACAGATAGAGCTCGGAAGTCAGAACAGCTGTTAGCTCCATCTAGTGGCTCCTGTGGAAGGTGCACTGCAACCATTAGAGGGTGCGGGCTTGCTGGCTTTTTCAGATAAATCAACACAGATTGGAACACTATCTCTATACTTTTGTTACCAGTGACTGCAGCAACAAAGCTGAAAGTGGACTTCTTTCCCCTCTCATTTTGTTGTTGTGCTTCTTGTTCTTGTTGGAGTTTTGCTTTGGCTTTTGTTTTATTTTTGTTTTTTGTTTGTTTTCTTACTCCTTTGTTGTTTGAACTTGTGTTTATGAGTGTGAATGTGGTGTCTACCCACTTTGTGACTATGGATCTGTTCAGTTCTTTTTTTTTTTAATCTCTCCCTCCAATTTTCTGCACCAATTTCCCAAAGTTAGTGTGATCCTTCTTTCTCCTCCAGGCTTCTAATCTCTTCCTCTTCTTCCACTTTTCATTTTCTCCCTAACTTATTTTAAATTTTAACCCCTAAGGGCAAAATTAAAATACTAAAGACTTGTATACTGCATACAATTTTCTGGCTTGTTTTAGATTTTGTTATATAACCACACGTGTAGTTGATACAGTTAAAGGTGGCAAATTAATTGGTACTTTAGTATGTCATTTTCTAGGCTGTGTTTTATATTATGGTTATTGATACCACTATAGCCAAAAGGGACATAATTGTCCCAATTGTGGTTCTTCCTCACATTCCAAGACTGAAATTGACTAAGGGTCACAGAAAACATTGTGGCACAGTGCCAAAGACCAGGGCTGGGCAAAAAGGCACCAACAAATTAAAGAGGTAGGACCTTATAGGAGCCTCATAACTAAAAAGCAGTTATACCTGGAAGACAACTAGGATAAATAGTCATTTCCTAAGGTTTCTAAATACTAGCCAGAAAGCAACCCACTATAGGCAATTACAAACATCATCCAAGAAATTAAACTTTAAAAAAAGGAAAGAAAAGAAAATGACACATTTTTTTAAAATGTACAACTCTAAACATCACTAAAGGTAAATGAAAGGGGCAATGAGGTCCTGGCTGCTCTGAAGTGGTAGCAACAAAGCAATTGATTGAGGCTGTAGAAAAAAAAAAAAGTCAGAAACAATTTGTCAAATAGCTCTGTACATGGTGTCCACAATGAAAACCATGCTTAGTGGTTGTAGCACAGATACAGAGAAGGAATAGATGAACTTAAGAAAATTATGAAAACCATTATGCTCAGAATAGGAAAGAAATGGAATTCATAAGGGAAATTCAAGCAAATATTCAGGAGAATAAAAATTCTATTGAAAGTATTCACAGCAGATTAAGCCAGTGTGAGGGCAAATATCAGCAATAGAAGACAGGCCTACAGTTAGTGATCACGAAAAGAAAGACATCTTTAAAGTATCAAGAGACATGAGAAGTCAATTCAGCAGCTTCTAGTTAATGCAAAGAAGAATAACTTAAGATTGATTAGAGTTAGTGAAAAAAACAGGAGATAGCACAAATGATATAAAACAAAACTGTTCACAAACGTGATTGCAAAGAAAATCCCCAGTAGAAAAAAATAATTTGGCATAGAGGTAAGTGAGGAATGTACAACTCCAATTGGCCATGATCAAAACTAAACTACACCCAGGTATATCATAGTCAGTATTTCAGAAATTAACACAAGAATAGAATATTAAAAGCTGTTAGGGAGAAGCAACAAGTCACCTATAAAACAAAGCCCATAAGAATCACAGCTGATTTCTCAGCACACTCTCAAGTACAGCTTGGAGTGAAGTATTTTAAGTTCTGAAGGAAAACAGCCTTCAACCCAGATTGATGTACACCACAAACTATCTTTGAAAATTGATGGAAAAATAAGATACTTCCCT